GGAGGGGGGAGGAACCAACATTGCGGCCTACCGCTCGGTCCAGGTATTGCCAGTGGTTCGAAACGCGTTGTCGAGCGCATCTAGATGCTAGCTTGAGGTTTGAGCATGCATCAGCAGGAGAACGCGGGGAGGAGAGGAGAATACTGAACGGTGGGGAAGGGAGGAATAGGGCATGCATGTGAGACGACAGAGGGCCTCAGGGAAGACGGAATAGTTGAGGGAGGGAGAAGGACGCGAGGTGGGAAGATAGAACCACGAAGTGTGTGGTGTGGAAAGACAAGGAGATGTGAAAACGTCGACCGCTGTCATGCCGACTTCGCCGTAGGGTCGGCAGCCAAACGAATCGCCGTGCATAGTGGAAGTATTGCTTTGTAAACAAACTGAGGCAAGAAGTGAGAGAAGATCTGGATGGAACAGGAACGAGTTGCGGAGGGAAGAGATACTTGGGAGAAGTCGCAGGGGGACGACGTAGGATGCCAGGGGGGACTCTGCCTTTGGAACCATGCCCACTCTGCACTTTAGAGCGTGATCGGGAGGTGGTTTACAGCAGGGGAGGGTGGCCAGGGTCGGGTGTCTGAGGGGGAATGGCGAGTAGAGCGAGAAAGGACGACGAAAACTCATGCGGGCCATGCTGACTAGAATGTCGACAACCATGTCGGCTGACTCGTTGGTCCGACTTTCTTGTGGACTACCGTGCCGACCACGAGGTCGAATTCAAGGGCGCCGCGCCGACGCGTCGGCAACACCCTGTACGAGGAGGCGGAGGAAGGCCTTCTCGCCTCTGGCCAGAGTCTGCCGAGCTCACGGCCTGTGCACGCCCCCGACCTCCCTGGCGCCTCTTACGGGAGACCACACGCACAGACAAAACACCGGAGAAGGGACTCGCACATTTGAAGGGGAACTGGAACACACAAATAAATATACACAAATAAAAATATCCCCCATATTTCCCCATATCTTCTGGGTTTTTGTCTTCCCCACCACTTCCCATATTTTTGCATATTTTCCTGGGAGTCGACGATTAATTGTGTCTGTGTGTTTCTTTCCCTCCTGAACATTGGGGGGGGTCATCGGCCTGGAATCGCCGATCCCCGCTCGCGCCCCTGCACGTTCCCTGGCGGGGTGGGGTGCCCAAGCCCACATCGGCGATGCGCGGGCGACGCGACGGGGGCCCGATGCCCCCCCCCCCTTTGACCAGTCCCTCCCCCCCTCAGGGGCACAAACCATGACATAAACGTAAGAACTCTAGGGAGCCCACAAAAAGGACGTACGCACCCGGCTATGTACATGAACACGGCCCCTCGATCCGCGAGACTGGCCGCGTGATACGAACATTCGGGCAACGCGTACTCCCGAAACCAGCATGGATTCATGTACGTGTACGTCCTTCTTTCGCTCCTGAAACTCTGAGGTCCGCGCGGAACGCGCCAGGGGGCGGCGCCGGAGGCGCCGCCGGGGGGCCCCAGCGTGGAACCGAGAAGTCCGCGCGGACCTCCGAGTTTTGAGGTTCATGGCATTGCTTTCTCTCCTGCTTGTCGCTCCCCCCTGGCCACCACGCTCCCCTCGAGGAGGAGGTAGAGGAGGAGGGAAGAGGAGGAGGAGGAGGAGGAGGAGGAGGAGGAGGAGGAGGAGGAGGAGGAGGAGGGGGAGGAGGAGGGAGGAGGAGGAGGAGGAGGGAGGAGGAGGAGGAGGAGGAGGAGGGAGGAGGAGGAGAAGGAGGAGAAGGAGGAGGAGGAGGAGGAGGAGGAGAGGAAGGAGGAGGAGGAAGAGGAGGGGGAGGAGGAGGAGGAGGAAGGAGGAGGAGGAAGGAGGAGGAGGAGGAGGAGGGAGGCCTGGGCGCGGCCGCCGCGAACAGTGCTCAGGCAGGCGAGTGTTGCGGCCTCTCCGGTCGCGGAGCGGAGCCTCGGCCGTCGGCTCCGCCGACCTCGCAGTCGAGGTCGCCCTCGTGGTCCACGACGTCGTCGGCGAACCTGGCGAGCTCCCGGTGCTGCCCCGCGAGCTGCTCGAGGCTGGGCCTCGGGCAGAATTTCAGGCACTTTGCGAGGCACGCCGTGGTCGTGGCCACCCGCTTCAGCGCCTTCATCTCGTGCTCGGAGTCACCCACCGAGATGATGTTGCGTCGCGGAGTGGCGTCCGACTGGCCCGAGGAGCCGTAGAACTCGGCAACCAGCTCCGCGAACGCGAGGCACTTCCACGCCGTCGGCGCGGACGGGCAGCGCCTCTTGTGGCGCGAGCTCGCGGAAATGACCCTGACGCCCGCAAGGTGCGGCTGCAGCGAAGGCATTGCCTCCTCGCAGCTCATCTCCACCCAACCCTGCTCGGCATTGGTCACGATGGCCACGCCGCCGCGCGTCTTCGCCGCCTCAAGCGTCGCGGCGACCAACCGTGCCAGGGCCTCCAGCCGTGCGTCGTGCGCCGGGGTGACCGCGGCCTGCTCTCCGAGGAGGCCCTGCTCTCTGAGCCACGTGGTGGGGAACAGGGTGTCGTCCCAGTCGAAGATGGTGAGGGTCTCGCGCGGTGCCAGCCCCGCGAAGCTTCGACCGCAGGCCCCACAGTCGGGTGACGTCGGGGCGTCGCTCCCAGTCCCGGTGGAAGCCTCGGAGCTCGCGCCGTCGTCGTCGTCCGGGGCAGGTGCCGAGGCTTTGCACAGCGCCTCGTTTCGAGGGGCGGTCTCAGCCTGTGGTCCGCCATTCGCCAGAAA